TCCCTCGGCCTAATCTCCGGCCTAACCGGTGCAGGTGGAAATTTTGGAGGTGGATTGACCCAACTAGTCTTTTTCTCAAGCTCGACATTTTCCACAGCCACAGGCCTAACTTGGATGGGTGTCATGGCAGTGGCGTGCACTCTTCCTGTGGCGCTTGTCCACTTTCCACAGTGGGGAAGCATGTTTTTTCCAGCTTCAAAAGATGCAAAGTATAGTGAAGAATATTACTATGAATCAGAGTGGAATGAGGATGAGAAACAAAGAGGGCTGCACCATGGAAGTCTCAAGTTTGCTGAGAATAGCAGATCAGAACGTGGGAAGAGGCAGGTGATTGCCTTAGCGGCAACACCTCCTCATTCCACACCTAACCATGCGTGACGTTTGTTGCATGGAAATTAGTCAATGATAAAGTAAGCTAAGAAAATTAAGGATCTTCTGGATTCCATACGAATAAGTAAACAAACCTTGTAAAATTGCTGGTGTTGCTTATAGACGCTAATTAACCAGTCTGAAAGCATCGAAGTGATCGAGAGAGTGTATCTGCAGCTAGTTGTTTGCAACATACATCCATGATCGATCTGCCGGAGTATTTCAACTTTCTCCTATGTATTACTGCCTCGTTATGTAACTTCCAATAGTGATATGAATCGTTGACTGGTTTGTCTTATTCCTATTATGAGCTAAACTGAAGTACTACTACTATCTTTTTACGTATTTAGGTATCTTGGTAAACCAATTTGAACAGAAGGAGGATGCTGAGAGAAATCCTGATACCATTTTACCCTTGGATGAGAAGAACCAATCTACCATTTTTTGTTTCCATTTTCTTTTACATTTTTTCCCTTTTTCTGGTTCTTCTAATCTAGAAAGTACTCTGCTCTGCACAATCGAGTTAATTTGAAATTAAAGGGAAGAGTGTACACATTGACGATTTAGTTTATAGAAAATATGAACGTTGCAGACACTTTGTGATTGAAATTTACAGAATCATGAATAGGGACGGACACAGAATTTTAAATTAGGGGCCCGCGAACAGTGAAGCAAAGAATAACCCAAAAAAAATTATAACAAATGAAGCACACTAAAAACAAAAATTAAATAAATGATAACTAACAAATAAATATTTTTAATAATAGAAGACATTGTTTAAAGCAAAACATGAAAATTAGACTTGTCTTTAGGAAGATTGAATGTTTGAAATGAGTTATATGATTTTTTTTTTTTACTTCTATGGTTCTTTTTTAATTCAAGTTAATCTTGTACAGCTAGAATTCTAGCTGTGATTGAATTTCCTTTAATTTGTCATTTGTTTTCTATTTGTATAATGTTTTCCTAATGGTAACTCGTAAACAAACGGTTTGGCTAATGAGTGCCCATTAGGCACTCTAAGAGGAGGTTCAAGTGTTAGTTTTTTAGAAAAGTATAGTTAATTCAGAAAAGTGTCACAATCCAAGGGTGCAATAAATATGAATGTGTGTATTTACATAGTTATTTAGGCGTGATTAATGGGCACCCATTAGAAAAAAAATCATAACAAGAAACTAAGAGTTCATTTATTTTAGGAACTTACATAAAGAGAAGTTAGCTAAGATAATGTTTGAAACTTTTGCTGATATTAATATCATAGTTGCAATTATGTTAAACTACAAGAAAGTAGAAACTAGAGTAAATTTTTAATATAAGGACAGTGGAGTTAGCTTCCGAGTAAATTTTTTATACATTGTTAGTGTACAATTTTTTTTTACACTAGCAGGGTTAAATCATTGCCACATTACATGAATTTAAATTTAATTTAAATTCATACATATGTGACATACATCCATAGCTGCTAGTATAAAAAAAACACTATAATGTCAGTATATAAAAAATTAATCCTTAGTATATTATGGGATACTTTTGAAGGAGTAATAAAATAAATAACATAATTAACGATAAACATGTTGGGAGGCAAAGTGATAGAGTTCTAATTAAAAAATAATACTCTATGAAGAATTTTTGAAAAGTTTGGAGGACGGCTGCCCCTATCAATTAGAACCTATCTAGTTTGTAAAGTTTGGGAACCTACCATGAACCATTAATTCTCTCAAACCTATCATCATTTTATCTTCTTATATATTCCTAAATTTTATATGTCTCTATTTCTTATATTTATTTGGGTATTTCTATTCCTGTGCCCTTAGCACGCATGATAAAAGGTGGTTCTAGGTTTTAGTTATGTAGAAAAAAATTTTGGATAAAGTTTGCTAAATTCAAGTGATGGATGATAATATTTAAAATTTGAAGTGAGTCCATGCTCTATATTTTGTATGCTTATCCTGTGCTCTAAAGGCACAAAATTTTTTTTTTTTAAAAAAACGTATTTGGTAAAAAGACATTCATGTAAAATTTGAAATTATAGGTGACAAAAAGTACGATTGAGAGAGTGTTATATATTATCGTTTAGACACTTGCAATTTTTTAAAAATTTTAGGCGATAAATGGTATGCATCTATATTCTATAACTATCAAAGTTCCATAGTTTATTATACTAATAGAATCCTAAGTTTATTACATAATTAATAACTATTGTACGAAAGTAAATTCTACTAACAGTTAATGCGATGCGTTATCTGAAATGTTGTGCATACTTCCAGATGTGAACTAATACCATCTATAATGTTATTATGGATACTTCTATTACCAAAAAAACTGGAAAAATTTCAGCACCGGAAAGTACCCACAAAGTAAAATGATATAGATGGCAATTAAGATCTCAGAAACTGACCGTGTATCATCCATCCAATCATAATAATATATTCACTGACAATATATATAAAATTTACTCTTATCTTAGAGATAAGGACGTATCAAAAGTCCACCCTCTCGTACGGCAACTTATTATATGCAAAAAATTGATAAGTTGACTTAGTCATATAAATTAGGGTTAATTCCACTTTGTCCCTTCAAACTTTGGACGATAATCCACTTAAGTCCCTAAACTTCAAAGTGGGACACTTAAATCCCTAAACTTTTAATTTGCTCCCAGTTAAGGAAAATTATTGACAAATTCCTGAATGCCGTTGGTGGTCAAAGAGCGTGGCAAACACTCTCCGTTAATGAAGATGGGAAATATTGTTACTGAAAATGACAAGGACATAAACGTAAATTTGGGTCGTAAATTAAGGACAAACAAAGGAAAAAAATTGCAAAGGAGGGAAAAACCCAGATAGTGGTCATTTCTTTCCTGTGTCTTGGACGAAAAAATAGAGAGGAGGGGAAAAACCAAAGTGTGTAAAAATTCGAATGATTGTTGCTGAAAAACACTGAAGATTGCAAGAATGGGAAGGAAGCGAGTCAATGTGAGAGAAAAAGCGTCCGGATCCGCAGCGAAACAACAAAAAGCAAAAGAGAAGACAAGTACTGGTATGAGAAAAATATTTTACAGCTTTTTGTGTACTTTAATTGAATTTAAGAATCGAAATTTGGGTAAGAATTTGGGGTAGCAGTAGAAAAACGTTTTAAAGCCGTAGGGATTGTTGAAAAGTTAAGGTTTTGGATGGTTGTGGAATGCATGTCCAAGGCATTATATATTTTCGATGGTACTGTTAGTGGGTCTGCATAATTTACTGAAAAGTGAGTATTGTGGGAACCCTAATGTTCCTTCTGTTGAAGACATTGTGGTCCCAAATGCTAAAAATTTTGTAAATAATTAATGGGTTAATTATTAATGATTTTTTTTTATTTAACCAGAGTGTGGTTCAAATGACATTTGGCCCGACTCATTTTCTTTGGCGATACACCATCAGGGTGAGTTCAGAAGCTCTCCCAGCAAAGAATACGTGGGGGGAAGGGTAGACTATATAGACAACTGTAATGCTGAAAAATGGTCACTACAGGTGCTTGATGAATGTGCAGTAAGACTAGGATACCCGAAAGATGCTCGTTTTGGGTGGTATGGTAGGATTCCTGGTATGCCGCTTGAGACTGGACTATATTTTTGCATGTGTGATTGGGATTGTGATCTACTTGTAAACACATTGCCACCCAATAGAGTGGCAGAGGTTTATCTACGAGTTGAAACTGATGGTAATCCAGTGAGGCTTCAAACTCAAAAAATAGATGATGGAGACATGCCTGAAGGCCACAACACTTCTACCAAGCAGGCTACAAAAGAGAAAGAAACATCTGAAATGGACAGTGACATAGCAATACTGGAAGAAGTTGACTTCAACGATGTGGACAACAGAAGGAAAAATGTGGCTGATGACAACAGTAATGAAGTTGCTGCAAACAGTCATGAGAATTTTGATTCCAAAAGTCCTAATTTGCAACAAGAGAAGGACAACAAGGGAGATAATGCAGGGGAAGAATCACAAATGGCAACTGATAATGATATGCAGGCTGATGAGACTGATGTGCAGGCTGATGACAAGTTCGATGATCCAGATTATACGGGGCAAGTTGAGGAGGATGTTTTATTTGATGAAGCCTTGAAGATTGGACAACAGTTTGGTGTACATAAAGGAGCACCTGAAGTTGGACCTTCTACCAGCAAAGACACAAGAAAGAAGAGAGCAGGTAGGAAAAGAGAAACTGTTGATGAAGTAAATGTTTGTGATGAGCCTGACATGGTTAATGTGGAGGATATGCAGTCAGAATATGAAACAGATTGTTCTACAGATTTGAAGAGTGAGAGTGAATCCGAAAATGAAGATGGTCCTAAGAGGAATAAGAAGCCTAAATTTTCAGTTTTTAATGAGAAAACTGAAATGAGAAGTCCAAGATTTAAGGTAGGCCAGAGGTTTTCATCAGTTGTTATTTTTAGGTTGGCTGTTAGAATCCAAGCCATTATGGAGGGAAGGGATGTCCAGTTCATAAAAAATGACACATATAGGGTACGGGTGAAATGTAGAGGCTGTGAATGGCAAATTTTTGGCTAAAAAATGCAAGGTGAAAACACTTTCCAGATCAAGACACTTAGCAAGGAGCATACATGTGGACGTGTCTTCCATAATAGAAACATGACATCAAAACTAGCCACCAGGTTGTTTGCAGATGAGGTGAGAAAAACACCATCCATGACAGTCCAAGAGCTCATGACTAGGGTGACTGAAGAATTAAATGTAGATTTTAGTCGTAAACAAGGCTATAGGACAATGAAAAAAGTAAGAGACATGATTGAAGGCAGTCATGAAAAACAGTATGCATTGCTAGAGGACTTTTGTGGTGAATTGAGGAGAGCAAATCCTGGATCGACAGTGTTCGTTGAGACTGATACGGATGAGGATGGGATTGTCAGATTCAAAAGGCTTTACATGTGCTTAGAGCCATTGAAGACAGGTTTCTAAAGGGTTGTAGGCATTGGATTGGGTTGGATGGGTGCTTCTTAAAGGATACATATGGTGGACAACTACTTTCAGCTGTGGGCATGGATGGGGATAACAAAATGTTTCCATTAGCTTTGTCAGTTGTTAGAGTGAAAAATTATGACAATTGGAGCTGGTTTTTGGGATTGCTTGTACAAGATTTGGAAATTTCAGATTCCAGTAATTGGTGTGTCATGACTGACAAGCAAAAGGTATGATGAATTGTATTAGCATTTATTTATACAGTAACTTTTTATTTAATAATTGAGGTACAACTTTTTATTTAAGCCAAGATGTATTCAAACGTGTATAGGGACTACTTCAAGCAGTTAGAGACAAAATGCCACAGGCTGAGCACAGGTGTTGTGTGCAACATCTATACACCAATTTCAAACAGATTCATAGAGGCCTGGCCTTAAAAGAAAGACTTTGGAAATGCGCAAAAGCTTCATATGTTACCCACTGGAAAGTCGAAATGGAGCAGTTGAGGCAAGAATCTGCAGCTGCGCATTCTTGGCTTGATGAAAAAGATCCCAAAACTTGGTGTAGAGCCCATTTCAGATGTGGATTGGATTGTAATATTTTGGTGAATAACATGTGTGAGTCCTTTAATGCAGTAATTTTAAAGGCCAGGTCACTACCAATCATATCTATGCTGCAGACCATTTATTTGTACCTACTGAAGAGGATGGAGAGGAACAGGAAATCAATGTCCAAGCACGAAGGTTAAGAAACATTTAATTTACTAGTATTAAGTTCAGTTCATTACTTTGAGAAATTTATGACCAATTTGTTGTTTTCATTTTGTATTCAGGTCTCCTTTGTCCAGCAATATTTGAGATACTGGAAAAGGCTAAACAAGAGCAGTGTATGTGCATAGCGTCATATGCTGGAACAATGAAGTATCAGATAAGCTGTCCATTTGGGGAACAGTACATTGTTGACATGGCTGCCAAAACCTGTTCATGTAGAAAGTGGCAATTAAGGGGAATACCATGTGGCCATGCTGTAGCTGCCATCAACAGGAGACATGATGCACCAGAGAAGTATGTTTCCAACACCTACTTGAAGAATACGTATCTACAAAGTTATGAACCTGTACTTAATCCAATCAATGGTCCTAATTTGTGGGAGCACATAGATCTTCCAGCAATGAAGCCTCCGACTTACAGAAGATCTGCTGGAAGGCCGAAGAAGATGAGAAAAAAAGCTTCAGAAGAAGAAAGACGGGACAACTGTGTCAATCCAATTAAACCTCACAAGGTTAGCAAGGTTGGCACCATGATGAGCTGCAGCTGCTGCAAAAAATACGGACATAACAAGAGAGGATGTCCGGATAAAAATAAGCAAACTACTGAGAGGACAACTACAAGTTCAGCAAAGGAGAATAGTGATATTGGATATGCAAGTCCATCTATGCAGCCAAATACAAGAGGCTTGTCCAAGTGATGTGACCATTGACATTGTTGGAGTAAGTACGCAACAGAGTCACACAGGTCCATCTCAAAATTTGAATGCCAATCAGCCAAAACATGGGGCACAAGAACCAGTGACAAAGAAAGGAAGAAAATGCTCATTCTGTCGTAAGCTTGGTCACTCAAAGAATAATTGTAAGTTGAGGCAATGGACCTTTAGCAACTCACTGGACATGACTGGAGACTTGGGATTCAAAACTGTAAAAATACGGTCTGATGATCTGGAAAACCCATATAAACATGCTCAAAAAAGTTCTGAGCATGTGGAAAAGAGTCCTACAACAACTCATGTAAGTGGTCTCCATATATCAGGTCTTTATTTATGGGTGTCACGGCTTATTGATTCATGTTATGTGCTTGTTTGCAGTTAAGCTCCAAAGCTAATGGTCGCAAACTTTATTCCCACAGCCACGGAGTAACGATGAGAGCACCATACTCATACGTGGACTTGGGGACAGCCTCTCATTCCAGCAGTGGACTTAAGCCAGCACAATTCACATGGCAGGGGAATTTGTGTGTTAACCTATCTACATTACAGACAGCTGCTGGACACGCGAAGGAGTCACCTGGAATTGAAAATGTGCAGCTCCATGGGGATGGAAACCAATCTGTTAAGTTGGAAAAATTGCAGCAACATGTCAAATAGCCTTCAAGCATGAACTGACTGATGCTGGACAAACCAACTCAAGAATTGTACAGGCATATAGCCTTTTTTGTTTTGTAGATACAATCAAATTAGGCAACTAAAAGCCTCTGTTTTGCTAGTCCAGATGTGGCAAACTTTTGTTCAACTCATATAGTCCATTGGAACTAAGATTTTTTTTGTTAACATGGAATTTTTGTTAGCCTCTGTTTTTGGTAGCCTCTGTTTTGGAACTCATATAGCCTTTGTTCTGCTAGTCTAGATAGGTGAAATGCAGAGGTTGTTAATGTGGATTTTTGTCATTCCTGGTATTGCTATTGTGTATTGGATGATCTGTTGAATGATCAAAGGCTTTTGCTGAAAATTTTATATTCTGGTACGACTATTGTTTGCTGTTGTTAATGTGACATAAACTACTTACAATAAACTTCACAAATTGGGACACTAAAATCCCTAAACAACAAATTCTGATTACATAGCAGGTCCAACGTTCACAATTATGGGACATAGCAGGTCCACTATATCCCTAAATTTGATACAGTACATATAAAACCAACACTTTTAGGGAAAGTGCTGGTAATTACATAGTCAGCAAAAGTAAGAATTTCCTTCCTGCACCACTCAAAAGGTCCACTACTTAGCAATGACAGACAAAGGTGGTCCCATATTTGAGCAAACAAAACAGGCAGTCCGGCATAAGCGGTTGCTTCTTCTGGAAAACTCATTTTGGACGTTCTCCCCCAGATTTGAACAAAAACAACCACATGACAATGACAACCCAGTGGATAATCAAGTACATCCTTAGCTTCCTCACTTTCGATTGTTGGCACCTTGAATTTTCTTTCAACCTGTCCAACTCAGCTTCCATCTTGTTCATCGACCTTAGCAGTCCAGGTATTATTTCTTTTGACCTTTGACACATCTCAGGATCAACCCAATCCCAGTATATGCAGCCTCCTTGTTCCTAGTTTGACAAGAACATTATGTTTGCAGACAAGATTAGGTGGCTACAATTCGTACAAACCAAAAATAAAAAACAAGTATAAACACAAAACCCCAATTTCCCTTACTCTGTACTTGGCACATCGACAAAACCTTCTTCCTGGGTTCATGGCAGTCCATGATGTCATCATCAATGTTTGGTTTCCCACAATCACAAAATTGCCTCACCATTTCTCTTTGTTTGTTGAACCATGCGTTGGGTTCTCCTTTTCTTCTTCCTGCCTTGTGGATAGCAAAATGAGAACTTGGGTCTCTCAGCATACCGACCTGAAGTGCCCTTTTATGATTTGGATCGGGTCTACATTATCCATCTGAAGTGGGTTGCATGGAGGGAAACCTTCCCTCCATATTTCACCACCTTTTTTAATCTATATATGTGATTTTTGTGAATTTTCATTGTTGCCCTCGGTCAAAATCTGGTGTTTGCCACGCTCTTTGACCACCAACGGCATTCAGGAATCTGTCAATAATTTTCCTTAACTGGGAGCAAATTAAAAGTTTAGGGATTTAAGTGTCCCACTTTGAAGTTTAGGGACTTAAGTGGATTATCGTCCAAAGTTTAAGGGGACAAAGTGGAATTAACCCTATAAATTATAAAGCGGTTGGATCAGGCCACCAGATCAAGATACTACAAAGACCCATTTAATGGGGCAAATAAAAGTTAAAGGAACTTCAAGGAACATGCATGCTTAGCTGCGTTCGTCGTCCACCGTTCATTACACTCGCACATTTCTTCCTCGGACAGTCAATAAAGAAACCGCCGTTTACCAAAAAAATAGATAAAGAAATTAAGGAACAATGTGATTCTCCTCTGTGTAAAGCCATCCTCTGACTTTTCGAATCAAACATTTGTTTGGTTGAACGTGAATTCTCTGTGATGAAAAAAGAATTTCCCAAATTCCATGGCAAGTTGGACGGTGTGGTAGGAGGAAATTTTTTTTTTTGTTGAAAAAAAATATAAATTTCAGTAATATCTCATGCCTGTCATTTTTAAGGATTAGAAATTGGAACCCTTTTTCGAAAAGCAGCTACAATTACAATAGAGGGTAGAAGTCTTGAGAGGATGTCATTCCTTAATCTACACTGGATCTAGTAAGCAAATTTGATCTGAACTAACAGATGCAGGTGGATTTGGAGTCTTTCAACCATTAAAAAAAAAAACTGCAAATTGGTGATTCAAGCATCATAGTTGCATTGAAGAAAGTGAAGCTAAAGCACATCTTATCATGCCTTGGGACTAATTGAAGTATTAGACCCTGTATTTTGTTAAGAATACAACTCCATGAAAGCAGACGAGCTTTACAGTCAGCAATGAATTTATTAAAGTTGTGGGAGGAATCCTTCAGCATATATTCAGCCGAAAATGATGCTGATGCATGGTGAGAAATTAAATTCTACACCAAGTGGAGTTTAAAAGCTAAATACCATGTAAAGTTCCGTCTTAGACAAAACTCAAAAGATTCAGAAGAAGAAGAAAAGAATTGTTACAAATCTGATAGGTTGCTCCACATGTAGAGTTTCCCAAACAGGTGTACGGTCATACCCTGATAGCATTTCAGCACATTCATCCGTACTTATATTTATGTCCTCACTACGATTCCTGCCAACTAATTAACATTAAAGTTTAGCATGATTCAAGGGCTCTTGTCAGCTTGATTTGATTATTGCAATTGCAAGCCTGTTTCTTTGACTAGCATTCTTAAATCACATACATGAACTGGCTTATACCCCGTTCAAAAAACTGAAAAAGCATATTCTTGATCCTTTGGCACCCTTGGAGACATGAAGATAATGTCATTATGTCGACATATTTTAAACCATTTCTTCATTATAAGAAGCACCAGGACAGCTGATAGTTCAGTTGCTTCCTCATATAGCCTATGGGCTAATCAAGCTGATGATATTTTATGCTAGTCCTACTTCAGTAGTCATTCACAATTTAGGAAGCACCGTCAGAAGTTGAGGCATGAAAAACTTGCAGGAAAGGGTGCCTTCAACAGGAAAGATTAACTAGTTAAAGTTATAGTTCCTAATTTAGTTGCACCGATTCATATACACGCTTGTACTACCAGCTTTAAGATACATCACCTGAAGTCGTTTATGAATGGCTATAGAGGGTCTGCATTGGGCAACTTCAGTAACAAAACTACAAAAGGGTTTGATTCTCATTCGTACTGAACAAAGCAAAGGTAGTAGCATATTATATCTCAATACAAATTGCATTCAGTTAAAAAACTACAACAGCCACGGCCAAGTTTTGAACTGAACAGTACTCAATTCTCAATCTGTCTGAGCACTGATGCCATGTCTCAAGAGCCCCGGATATATACACCAAATCATTTCAAGCTTCAAAAAATGTAATGAATGCACAGCAAATCGTTTCTTGTAAACATGAAACAACTAAAGTAGCGTTGTGAAAAGGAAAAAGGTAAAAGCAACTCAAGCTCCTACAAATACATAGAAATTGCACGCAATTACATACAAAAAGACTTGTCCTTTTTGTTTTTTAGGCGCGTAAAAAGACTGGCTTTTCCAGGGACTTCAAATAAAGAAAAAGACTGGCATTGATTTGCTTGAATCACTTTCTCGAGTCTTGATGGCGTTTAGCTGATTGATGCAATGAGAAACAGAGCTCAATTAGAACCACCGAAACTTCAGTTAATCTTGAAGCTAAGCTTCCCTGTGCCACCACAATTACTACAAGATCGAGAAGAAGAGCATTTTGTGCAATAGCTCCACTTTTTTGGAAGCCTGTTGAATTGAAGCACATGACTCTTGTTACTATTTTCCAAAATACAGAAATTTGTAGAGAAAGAGAAGGGAGGAGGTACATCAATTTTACCCAGCTGTGTATCTGGTAGCTGCGTTCTTTGCCATCAATCTTGCTCTCTCAGCACTTTCCTCTGAGAGTTTCTTTAGCACAAAGCCTTCTCCTTTGCATTCTGGACAAACACCAGAACCGCCACAGTCATCACAAATTTTTGTGGAGGCCTGTACCAATAACAAGGATCACACTTCAAAGAAATGCCTGCCTACAGCATGAGTAAAGGCAGGATTTAACTGCAAAGCTAATGGTCTCCTGTTTTTCCTTAACTGTTGGGTTAGGTTTTTTTTGACGGTCTCTGTAGTTCCACAGAGGAAATAGATCAAGGCAGAATATATACCCATTAAACCAAATAGGAGATATTCTAAATTTCGAATCATAGACTACTGAGATGCATAGAGGTTATCTATCCCATATGATAAAATTCTTCACTTTGATATAGATGGGAATAAGTCTCACAAAAATAAACAGTTTTTTTGCTTAAGCTTTCAACAGACATAATGGAAAAATCACATCTATAAGAACGACTTACATTTGATTTAGCAATGCACAAGAACTTGAAAAGCTCTTGATAGATATTCTACTTCTCTGGTTACATTAGTGTTATGTGCAACATTACCTCTTAAGTCTCATAAGAACTGTGATTAGTTGTTATTCAAGTTCTTAATAGATATTCTACTTCTCAGGTTAGATTAGTGCTATGCGCAACATGGCCTCTTAAAAGTCTCATAAGAACTGCGATTAGTTGTCATACACACCTCAGTTGTTTCAGAAGCTTCCGTTCTTCTTTTAAGAAGAGTAGCTGCCGTACCTACAATGGTAGCAGCAACTGCAATAGAAGCAGCTGTTTCTGGTAGAGCACAGAATATTCTGCATGTTCTGCACTCTAGTTGGTTTAACTTCAACACTGAAGGAGAATAAATACTTCTCTGGAGCACTTTACAGCTATTGCGTTTGATTTGTCTCGCTGCTTATAATATCAAAAGTCAGGTCAGCAACAGCCACTGATGATTTTGAGCAGTTGACAAGATATAGTGCAAAATCTTGTAAAACAGAGATCCATAAAGTTAAAAATGAAAAGAAAAAAAATGCAGGAAATCTGTCACGAGAGGGACACCTTAGCAACTCTAACCAAACCTCAAAGACATCAATTTTTCACAATATAGCAGTAGAGGTATTATCCACAGTCAAGCGGAGTTCATTGCACCAGCAAGATCAGAAGCGCAGAGATCAATCCAGTTTTTCTAGCCAACTATAAATGAGCTGTGAGCTGACAGACACATCAGAATGAGCAAGTTCATGTTGTGAGTATTGCATAGAATTAACAAAGATATAGAACTTTCAAATGCATGTTTGTGACACCAACTGGCAATACATCATCAAAGCACATTTTGAATAGCATGTATCAAATTGTCTTATGTGTCCAAGTTCACATTTATGGTCTAGCAATTGAGGGTAGTCGAACATGCATCTGTTTACCTGGTCTCATCAGCAAGGACGTAGCACCAAGTATCAGACATTCTCTGAGTTAAATAGAAGAAAACAAGGTTTGCACTAAAGATAGAATGATCGTCTTGAAGTTATCGTCATCTCTGTGTATTTCACAACACCAAAGTCAAAGATTCATACTCAGTCAGCACTCTGTCATTTTGGTGGCGTTTAAAGGAATCATAGAAAAAGCAATTTTGTGGACACTAGCAAACCTTTATCTCTCGCATAAAGCACAGAGCTCCATCCCAGCTTGTCTTCCCAGTTTTCATTTTATTCTTAAATTTGATTGTCTTCGGTTCAACCTATAGAAATTGGGATTTCGTAGATCTAGGTACCGTCTTTTTATCAGAGAATGGTGAGCATGCATAGAACTAGAAATCTTTAACCATTAGAGAGACTTGTTTAACTGTGACCATTCAGTAATCCTAGACAAGTTAGATATTATTAGCTCAAAACAGCACAAGAAAAGGTTTTCTCATTAAATCAAGACATGGCATTACATCATTGTCAGTTATTTTTTAATCCTCCCTTTCATTGCAAACCAAATTATGATAAGGAAATGGACATCCAAACTGTTTCATTATTCATTACAGACACTTCAGTCTCCAACTATCAATTGAAACTTTATGCCTCACCATTAAATATGACCATATCCTTCTACCACGCTTCAATTTTCATCTTACTAATCAAGAGTATTAAACAGGGGACAGTTTCCTCCAACAAACTACACCTCATTAAGTGTCGATCTTTATTGACAGCATTTTCACATTTCTTCTTCAGCTCTGCTCCCCAGCAACTTTCAAGGATCAACAAACATATACAGTCATTAAAAGGTATATAAGAGAAAACCTACCACAATGTGCATCTAACTATATCTTGAATTCATAATATATCAGCAACCCTCTTGAAGTGTTGTTCACCACCCAACAACAACAAACTGCAAACCTCTTGCCCCATTTTAATGCTGTGAAATTAACTAGCCATCTAATCTGTTTATTGTTTAGAACTGTGCACAATAGATATCCCCTTCTATCCTTAAATAAGTTGCAACTACTTGACGCTGGTGATTCAACCAATTAGAAACCAGAAACCAAACCTCAAATTGCGCTCAAATTCAACACTTGCTTGAAAAAACCTAACAAAAGGCACCATATCTAACTTCCTTATCTACCCATAAATGGCGTATCCTAAAAGTTTAAATCAATCCCAGTTATTACCAAATAAATAAATAAATCCCACTAATTATAAGTTCGGGTGAAGTTTTTACTGCAATCTATAATGAACTCAAGAATCCCATTTACAGCACATGCATCAAAGATTCCATTTTTAACTAGACAGTACGCTCATATTATACAACAACTCACTCAACTACCGCCGCCAGCAGCAATGGGTAACAATGGATAAGTTCAACAGATGGCAGTAGTAGGCAGAAGGTAAGTAGAAAGTCACAATTAAAAAACAAACTAGTATCTCCCAGCATATGCTACAAAATTCTCAACTTATCCAGATGGGATTTTAAAGAAAAGAAAGGACATTAAGGAGAAAATTTACTATCTTTACTGTCGAAGGAAGCAACTGATACAACCGTACTATGCAACCTGAGCTCCATTTTGGAATGGTTCCTTTTCTCCCCGGTGTGTCAATCAAGTGCCTTATCTTGGAATGGTTTAGGAATTCTGCCTTCAGCCTTCGGCTGTTGATATCAGGATTTGGAGTATCAAGAAAGACTAGCAGTATATGATTTGCATAATGCCCTCAGTTTTACCAAAAATTTTAATTTGCCTTTTTAGCACTTTCCAAGACAAAATTACAAATCCCTGTATTATTATCAAAATCTCCAAGTGTGCTTTTGTTTTCCTTAACCACTGGTATTCCTTTTCTACAATGTTTAATTTTCTAATTTCCAAAATTCACCCCCTTTTCTATCAGATACAACACACACTTGAGAATGAAATTTTACCCTTGCTCACTTTGATATGAGAAGTAAATACTCAAGCTCTGCTTCCGAATTTATGCTTACCTGTATCTCTTTGTTGCTAGGCGCATGTGGTAAATTATGCATTAAAAATTTTTGGTGGATAGCTTAAAATTCTATCCGGATAGAACTCTGGCGGACCAGTAATTTTTTTTACTAGTTTAGCCAAGACTACAACTTCCAAAACATAATGCATAAAAGTAAAACTGAGAAGGGTGGAAAGGGGAAAGGGTTAGTTAAGAGGAAGTCTGTACACTTATTGATTTGCCGCCCAAATCATTACCAAAATCCTATCTATTGTTATACCAAAACCTGTTCCGTTTCACCTTCCCAGCCACCGTACACTAATATTACAAAGTTGCAAACTTGCAATACACTTGTATTGTACCAGTTAAGGTGGTTGTGGCAAACCTTATTATGATCATTCAAAAATTTCAGCTTGGCATTGTTGGATTTTTGCCACGCGGCATAATTGTTTGATCTCCTGTCCAAGTTGTATTGAAGAGGAACACGTGTGAACTTTAAAGAAGAGAAAAAGCCTTGCATGTCAGGTCTTGTTCATGGGCTTCCACCCTTCCACAAGTTGGGGTGGTTGTGCTTGTGGGGTTGACTTAGGAAAGTCGACTATGGTTACATTTTTATTTTGCTCAATGACCTTTAGGTTTCGTTTTATAAAATTAAATCTGAATTTTTTTGGAGTCTGAATTCTGAAATTTAAATATTGAAATAATTAATTTACTGAATTTTAAACACTGAAAAGAAATATATGAATATATGAATTTTAATGCTAAACCTATTTATACCTTTTTTATAAATATTTATAACTGAATGCTTAATAAGTTACATTTGATAATTTTGTCCTTATATCTTTTCATCCAAAAGAAAAAATAGAACCTATGATTCAATTAGCTTAAAATTTTTAGGTATGAAAATGACAATATTTATTTTTAAATCAAATTAATATAAAAGATGAAATATATTATATGAGAAGTATGGAAAAGATGTGAAAGTCATTAAAAAGGGAGACAAGAAAAATAGAAAATCATTAGATAGAGAATATTAGGTTGTTTAATTAGATAAGAATTTTGAACATAATTAACAAACAAGGGTAGATTTGGTAGATAAGATCAGGTAGTTGAAGTAATTCTATTGATTCTTATCAGAATTAAGCATTCAATTAGGATTCTTGTGCTGAAAAAAATACATACAAGTTCAGCACTACTTAACAAATTCAGCAAATGGATTTTCGTTTATCAAACAGTCAAACATCTGAATGTCTGAAAAAGTTCAGATTCAGCACTTTTTTATGTTATCAAACAGACCATTACTTGAGAGATTTTCATTTTTTTTTTCGTCAAACGGCAATGTAACTTGGGAGATTTTTGTTGTTTAGGAAGGGAAGTGAGAGAAAGAGGAAGGTTTCTGTTATTTGGAAGATTTTTGAGGATCCAAAAGAAGAGAAACCAACTGATTTGAAAGGAGAGTTTAAATCGATTGATTTGGAAGGAGAGTTTTGTAGCTACAGTTAAATAAAGTTTCCATCGGTCTGTCCAAATATGGGGGGAAAATGAAGGAAAGCTGGCAGAAGCTTGATAAATCTTATGAAAATATCAATTCTGTCCTTAGATAGTTATTGAATAAAATTGTAATTGCATACATGTCTAGAATCATTTCAAATCTCTTCCCTTATTTTCTCTTCTCTTCTTTTCTGTCGTAGCTTAATATTTCTCATCTTTTCTTTTCTATCCTAAACTCCCAGACTAAGCATTATCATTAGAAACTTACGTTAGCTCTTCCAAGGTCTTCAAAAAGGTTAAAAAGATGTTAATAGACAATAATTAATGCTAGTGGCCAGGGCAGTGTTTGATCTTTATAAGAGTAAACCAATTCAGTTTCTCCTATTGAAGCTCCATAAATGCTCTTTTAAACGTTGCCCGCCAGGACGGCCTAGCTGCACTTAAAAACGCTTTCGTGGTAGCTAATAGGTTTTAAATACAAACTTTCCGAAGAGTTAAAAATATTTCTAACCAAATATGCTCATTAAAGATAAGTAACAATACGTGGAGTTGTAGGAAAATCATTGAAGCATCAATTTTGTGTTCGTCGGTCAGACATTTAGCAATTTCTGTTTCCTCTTGGGAACGAATCATTTATTATACTGTAGATACATCTATCTAACTGATAGCAGATGAACGAACGAATTTTACAAGATGAGAAAAGAAACCCCAGAATCTTGAACAGGGTCAGATGTATTGTTTTCATAAAGTATAGTAGCTCAAATTCAGACGACTCAATTTGCTAACTTATAAACGAGGAAATATCATGTACTAAGAGGTATCTGACTTGGGTGCATTGACGGGAAATCACGGGCATCCTGGCCTTCAACAGAGGGACTTTCACAGTTCAAAAAGAGCACCCACCACACCAACTCATCATGACCACACTTTGTGTCCTGAAGACTGAATCCCCCCGCCTGCATGAATGCTGAATAGTGATAACTCCACGTACTCTTCTTACTTCAGCTGAGCTGTGCATCTCAGCATCTGCCTTCCTCAAGTCTTACTCACCAGCCTATTTAAGGACCTCTTCACTTCTTTTCTGCAGCACAAAATTTACCAATTCATTGCAAAACTTCTATCCAACCTTAGAGATGGCTGGTACTAATGCATTCTGCATTGCGATCATATTTCTGCTGTTATTGTTGCCTACTCCTAATGATGCAACAGCAAGAAACTTTCCGTATAGCGGTCCGAGCACGATGATATATGGAGAAACAAGAAGGCCGGAAGGAGGCTATGTCAATATGAAGCCGCCCCCGTTGCATCACAGAAAAGGGCTTCCCTATGGAAGGGTAGTAAAACACTGCATGCCAAAGGGACTTAGGCATTCATCAGCGCCAAGTCGGTACGCAAACAGTTACCCTTTTGGATTGCCGTGCTTCACCAGGAACCCTTTTCAGCCTTGAACGAGTTGCAATGGAGGTGGGATTCAGGAATGGTTGTTTTGAAGTCGGGGAATTTATGAACTGGGAAATATAGATTATATATGCGCAGTTTTGCTTCTGCCTACAGGGATTCAAACTATGTATTGTATATGATTCGAATCTGTATCTGAGTTTGTGGTGTGTGCATGTAAGCTATGTGCTCTGAGATATGCAAACTCAAACTAGATTATATCACTGAAGAGCTTCAATGCTTAATCAAATTATCAAACCTTTATAAACAGGACTGCTAAATTTTGCTCTAGATTTCTCATTGTTTATTTAGAGTCTGCAGACTATATCCTCTGGATAGTTACAATTTGCAAACATCAAGCATACGGCTTATTCCATTCCGGGCTTCCAGCCAGGCAAAGCAAAGATGAAGATTTATTCTTTATGTACAAAACAAACCTACTGAACTTTTAGTTCCTGCAGGAAACGTGTGCCTTTGAATGGAAGTGGAAAAGAACACTGAGTTCAGACTTCTGTTTCAGTTTTGTTTATATCAAACAATTTGAAATGACCTTTGACCTAAAATATCTGTTAATGATCATAACTCAGATTTATGGTGATTTGATTATCTGATTAAAGGCCACATATACAGCTGCGCCAGGATGGTAGGAGTCGTAGGACCACAATATTACCCCCGTATATCTGCCATGTTACGCGAAGGGGCAAGGCAAACCGTGAATGCATTAAGTAGAATCCAGATGAAGCCAGTCCTAGCATCTGAAATGCCGACAAGATGACACCAACACAGTAAAATACATGGTGCAGTGCTAAAGAAGGAAGACAGATTAGCTCCGCTTGGCTACTCCACAACACCATTTACAAAGTTTTCATCATCACCCCGGCAATGGGAAGACTTCCTAATGAAAAATCGCTGATAAAGCAATATCCTTTATACGTTGGCAGCATAGAGTCCACTTTTAAAGGGTCCAAAGGACGGGGCTACTGAGGATCATGCCCTGCAACCATGCAATTCTGAGTGCAGCCGCACCCAGTGCAGATCACATAAATCAACTTTTTGAAGAAAGGTTCAAACCATCTTTGCCGTCTTTGCTTCACATAAACCAGAAAGTAGCCGATTTCCAACCAGTACGCCAATTGTTTCCAAGTAAAATCCGGGTCATAAGTGTAACACCTATATTGCACACACTAACATTCAGTTGTAAGACTCCTAATTAAGTTTTAACTTCTATTAATCTAAGCAACATCGATCACCAATAGAGAGGCCAAAAAAACAAGAACAGGATGG